GGGGTCCCCCCCCCCCCCCCCCCCTCTCTTCTCTGTCGATTCGTTTTCTTTTTCTGCTTTTTTTTTTTGTTTCTTTGCGTCATATTTATTTATTTTTGAATTTAAAAATATTATTTTCATCTAATAAATACAAATATGCAAAAAATAAAATAAATTTTATTCCTTCTTCAGCCCGCAGGTAAATTCTTTTTTTCCCTTCGGTGGGGCCCTCTTCTCTCTCTTTCTCTTTGTTGTATTTCTTCTTTGTTTTTGTTTTTTTTTCTTTTTATCTCAGTTTTTTTTTGTTTTTTATGCATTTTATTTCATCTCTTTTGTTTGTTTTTTTTCTGTTTATTGTTTGTTTTCTCTGCCTTTGTGCGTATACACTGTTTGTTTGGGGTTTGTTTGTTTCTTTCTCTTTTCCTTTTCTCTCTCTTCTCTTCTTTCTATCTTTATTTTGTTTTCTGTTTTTATTTTTTATATTTTTTTCTTTATTAATATCTTTTCTTCTCTACCTGCATTCATCAATATTTTCTTTTTCTTTTCTCTTTTTTTTGTATTCTATTACCCTCACATATTATTTATATTGAATTATATTAATTTAAATTAAATTAAATTATATTATAATAATACCCCATTCTTTTTGTTATACTATTTATATTGTTTATATTATAGTACATTATTTCAACATTACATTATATGTATTATTTATATAATTTTTTATATTATTTTATTTATATTTTTTTTATGTTTTTTATTTATATTTATTTATTTTTATTTATTTATTTAAAGTGCAGCAGCTGATGAAGCTAGGTACTAGAGTCGATGAGCTTTTGCTGATTAACAAAATTCTCTTGGCTGTCTGATTTCTGCTGTATTTTATTTATTTTTATTTATTTAATTTATATAATATTTTTATTTTATTTATTTATTTATAATATATTTATTTATTTATTTATTTATTTATTTATTTTATTTATAAATATAAATACAAAAGGATGAGTAAGGAACTAGAGTCGATGAAGCCACCGCTGGCTTTGATTACCATTCTCTTGGCTGTCTGACGCACATTTATTTATTTATATATATATTATAAATAAATATATAAATAAATATATAAATAAATAAATATATATATATATGTGTGTGTATTTGTATATATATTTGAGGTGTATGTACACCCCAGCTGCTGGATGATATGATTGCGATGGGCGGACGGAGCACCGGCTGTTGCAGCCGGTGCGTTGACGATCATCGCTATTTTCTGAGTAAAAACTATTTTTTTTTAATTTTTTTTTTAATTTATTAATTTAATTTATATTTTTATTTATATTTGTGCATTTATTTTATTTTTTTATCCAAAAAACGCACAGAAAGCCGGCCCCCCATCTAGCCTTTGCTCTGTATCGGTATACACCCCGGTGCATCGCAGCAGAGAGAACGGTGGGGGGTGACCTTTGCCTATAGAGTCAGAGTGCAATAATAAATACAAATATAAATATAAATATATTTATAAATATAAATATATTTTTTTTATTTATATTTATATTTATTTTTGTATTTATATTTATATTTAGAAACAGGCATTGCCTGGCTGGGGGCGGCTCTCTTCCGCCTCCAGCCAA